ACCTTCACATCCTGTTGGGCAAATAACTGCCTGTTTATATACGTAAGGGTCTAGCAGGATGCCTGTAGCTGGGTTCATGTCTCCATGTTCATCACACTCAGGTCCTACTTCCAGTCACCTAAACTGTCACTTACTCTCTCAACATGCTCCTCAGCCATCCTGAACACTTTCTGCAGTAACGTTCTCAAGTTTGCCTGCAGTTGAAGCATGACCTACTTACACTCCATTTTGAAAGGTAGCGTGACCCTGACATTGTTGAAGATTTTCTTTCAGAAGTGCAGTTTCTTGTATTCTCCTACAAGATCAGACTCTGCCATTAATACTTCAGATGTGAATACTGGCCCTGTTACGTCAGGTACACTGTTATGCACAAAGGAAACAAGATTGAAGTAAACAAGATTTCCAGACATTAAATAATAATAAAAAGAATCAGAGACTTTAACTAGCCTTTATAGAGCTTCAATGCCTCTTAAAATAAATAGGTCAGTGTTGATAGAAAGACTGGGCTGATTTATCCTCCTATATTTTCAGAACACTTTCCAACATGCAAGTTGAATACGAACAAAAACCTCAGGCCTATCTGTTCATGCCTCTCTAGCCTTGGTATTGATATTAATGCCAACAAAATTAGTAATTTGACAATTAGTTTTCTACTTACCTGAAAAGACATGAAAGGCAGAGAGAAAGCAGTTTAACTAGATTATAATGTGGCTGTGACAAGTCAGGTTCCTGTCATGTTATACCCTTCCAACTTTAACATTTTCATGTCTGCTTGGCAGGTTATTAAAATAAATGAGGGTGTGTTGGACTGCTGTTGCACTTTTCTCTAATGGGAGTTCAGGAATTTGCAAGCCTCTACTGTAAATTGACCGATCGTGAAGTCTGAAAGAAGTTGGATAAAGTGGACAATTAGGAGCATTTCTCCACAGCTGAGTGAAATATTCCTTGTTATTTTAATAATTCAGGCAGAGGCTAATTTTCGGAGGCTGAGTTTGTCAAGATAATGTGCCTCGTGCTTGTCTGCTTGTCATTTTTAACTCAATCCCACATGTTACAGGTGCAGTCTAGCTTACAAAACAGGCAAATCACTCACAGTGGAATTTACATACAGAATATAGATATATTGTACTAAGGAAAAGCAGACCGAGGAGTCAACAGATAGTTGTGATAGGAATGCATATGATACAAAAACTTTTGATGCTTCATAGCTGTTGTATCCCTCTTTATGCTGATATAATTAAAGGCATTATTTGGCAGCATGAATACACAAATATGTATAATGTAAAGCACCACATAAATTTCTTCAGCATAGAGATATGGTAAGGCTACAGAATTCCCAAGTGGCATGCAGATGTTCTGGGTAGCCTCAGTTACTTTCTTCAACTTAAAATATCTTGAAGTCAAAAAATGTGAAACATGCAGGACTCAACTGAGAGAGTGAAGTCTCCTTTATGAAAGATGAAAGAGGTTCTACAGACATTATTATGCCCAGCTTCTGGATGCAAAGGCTACACTACTGAGTCAGGATTTTGAAACCTCCCACTCTCCTTTCTTCTCTACATCACTTACTACTTGATGCTGAGAGAGGCAGTGGGAATGGCCTTCTTGCCATGCATTTCTCTCTCATTTTCTCAAACAGGACTTCTTGCATAATCTGAGCACATACAGAAGGGAAGAGAATTTTAAAATTAAAATTTCTACAAACTTCCCTTGCAGATTTAAGACCTTGACATGAGGCAGAAAAATCCCTTCTAAGGCAAAACAACTGCGAAATTAAGTGGATGAAACATTTTCAGGACATAGCATCTTTAAGGTCAGCTCACATGTCTAGAATACCAGCCTATAATCTTCACACTACAGCAGTCTTGAGGAATACATGGAATACTTTCAATGACATACCTTCCTAGCTCCATAATCCCAGCAGCCCCTTACAACAACCATCAGGGTTGACACACAGGGAAGAAATACTACATAATGACAATGCTGTTAGATGTTTACAGAGAGCAAAACACTTCAAATTATTTATGAAAGCTGGACAATAGCTGCATCTTTTGATGCAGCTTTCTCTACCATGCTATGTGCATGTAAATACACACAAGTGTATGTATGTGTTTTTATATATATTTACTGATATAAACTTTTTAAGGTACAGGCAGATTCAATTGATTAGTAGCATTTTATTATCTCATATGTCAACAAATTTCTCCTTTGAGGCCAAGCAAAAGAGCTCTTTGCCAGGAGACAAAGCAATACAACACTTCAAGCTCACCAGTCAGATGCCACATGATCTCTTATTACCTGAATATTCAGGTAATAACAGAGCAAAACTACCATCTCCTAGTATGCAACAAAATAGAAGGCCATTTTACTAAGTAGGTTGAGGTGGAGATGGAGGATATAGATCCTCAGTGGCAACAAAAAAGAGATGATTAAAATTTGCATGATCATGAAAGATCTCATGTTGGGAGAGTATATTTATGCTTAGCAGTGATGTGGCTTGAATGCTTAAAATAATACAGCACAAGAGCTCCTGTTCTCAAGCCATTCCTAGAGACACTCTAAAACACCAAGAACAATCTGAATTCTGATATTTGCATGCAAACCAGGCTATCCATGTGTGAACATGCATATTTGTCATATATTATTCATTTCCAATTCCATTTTGAAAGTTTCAGTCAAGAAGCAAATCCAGTCCCAAGCAGCTGCAGTGGTCACTCACTCAGCATGAAGAATGAACAGCAGAGAGCAAATAGCTGAAGCAAATAGTTCAACAAATCACTCTCAAAGATTATTCTTGAAAAATTGCACATTTAATAAAGCACATCTGTAAACAATCAACTTGCACTCACAACAATTTGAGAACTCAATTCATTGAATGAATTACACATTAAAAATTAGTCTGAACAGCTCTGGTCTTCATACACAAGGAACAAAAGACATTGCTAAATAATGAAATAGTAGAGAAATGGATTTATAGCATATGTACACTACCCCTTTCTGATAATTTCACTCAGAAGCTTCAGGAAGGCTGCTGTGGTTGCTGCATCAGGATTGAGGGAGAAACAGGTGAACACACGAGCAAAGATCATTCTCAAGTAACTTGCTGTCTGTGCAAGGGAAACTATCAGCAGTTAAGGTAGGCAGCAAAACTCATGTCTGGTCAAGTGTGAAATACAACACCAGATCAGAGTCAACACAAGTTGTCAGACCTCCAGCTTGAGAGGTGTCTTCAACAAGGAAGAAAGTGAAGTCAACAAATCACAGTATTACTGAGACAGTGAGAAAAGAGTGTACAGTCTCATGCCTGCAAGTAACATCTATGGCATATCAAGTTAAAAAAAAAAAAATCTTTCATAGGAAAGGTAAAAAAAAAAAAAAAAAAAAAAGAGCAGAAGAAAAGCATGAGCTGGTAACTTTGCTTCCTCTGCAAAGGCACAATGTCTCAACATAGATTTTAGCAGGAAGCTTCTCCTCCTCTGTACTCCCCAACCCTTTCAAAGGAGAAACAAGAAGGAAATGGCTTTCTTATTTAGGTGTCAAGCTTACACTGATATTTATGATACATCATTTTCCTTTACATAAGGTTGCAGCATCAAGAAGCATGACATAACTTCTGGTAGCACAGATGCCATGCCCTTTCAGGATTCAGCAATGAGAATGATTGAAAGGTTTTGTCTGTTTGTGTCTCAAAAGCCATATAAAGAAGAAAAAAGGAAAAAAGTTATTTTTGTTAGACAGGCACTTGACTTTAGTGTGTGCCAACACACTGTATATGGAATTTAAAACAGCAAGGATATTACACCTGACATTTTAAATACATAACAGCAGAAACATCATGGCTGTTTGGTTCTCAGAAAACCTTTCAGTGGTCAAGGGGAAAAAGTGAAATGCTATTACCAGCAAAGAATTGAGGCCAAAAACGAACCACAAATAACACTGCAACATTTAGGATTTAAGGATCACATTCACAGACATTAGTATTTAACTAATTATTTATGTGCCTACTATTGTGCAAACCTAAGCTCATATACTTTGTCTTCTCAGCACATAACACTTCGATATTTGAAAACATTAATTGGCAGCATGAGAGCATACTACTACTGTGATAATCTCTGCACAAATGTGCAAATGTAATATTTTAATTAAATGTAATGAAGACCTCTTTATAAACTTAATCTTAAAAATAAGATTAAAATATCTGCATGCAGAATTGGCATTGAGACACTATAGGTTAACTGCTATGCTCTGTTTTCTCAGCTTGTTTAATAATATCTACAGTTCTCTTCTGTAGAATTTTACAATTGTTTATACCTGCATTTTACTACAAAGTTGCAGATGCAGAATTCTCGACTTTGCCACAGAACAACAGATTGAGAACATTCCTACCATCACGGTTCCCTCCTTTCTTTTAAATTCAGTACAATTACCAAACAATGCCATTGTCTGAATTGTTTGTGCAACTTCACTTGCAGTGTAGTGAACAGAGACTGAAACTGGCTGAAATCACCACCTGCATGGAAGATGCAACATTTCTTTTTCACTAAAGATTTTTTTTCTCCCCCATAGATTCACAGACTTGTCTGTGACTGCACACAGAGACATGTGTAAATCCAAGCACACTTAATCCTACAACGCAACACATAGTAAAGTCTGAAGAATTTCACAGAAAATAAGAGCTTGACATTTATAAATAGATTTTAATATTCACTGCATAGCACAATTTACCTCAAACACTGTATGTTTGTAACAGAAATATTAAGCCTAACTAACAGAGGGGCTAAAGAAGCTTTGGTTCAACTATCTGAGATACAAACTCGGACAGAAAGAATTACAAAAATTTAATGATTTTCCTAATTCATTGTTTATAAAAAAACACCTGAAAATACCAATGTGTATAATCAAGGGATGTACAGATGTTATAATTAAGAAACATACAAGAAAATTAAATACAAGAAAGTTAAGCTAAACAGGTTATCACACTAAAGAACAACAGGTAGAACACTTACCCTAGTCCTAGGCTCACTGAGAAGACTCAAAGAGGAGCAATCTCCAAAAGAGATCCTTCCTCACTGGTAGTCATCTCTTTAATGGGGTCTAAGAGAGGTGGAGCCAGGCTCCACCCCTTCCAGTGGCACAGGTGAATTGCCTTCACCTGTGCTCCTGTGGCTGACTCATTGCTCGCCTCAGGTGATCAATCAGAGGTTCAGGCTGTGATTCAGCAGTTTCCATACACAACATATGGTCATCAAATACATACAAGGCTTCATGAAAAAAGTAACAACTCTGTGTTCAAGATTTTCTCTACCTCAGTCAATTTAAAAACAGTACTGCAGCACCTGATACGTGGGACTGGGAAGTGTAGAAATATGCTGAAATATCTTGCCTATATTCCACATGCACCTTCAAGGAGACTGAAACTTGGTTCAGAGCTGTCAATCCACAGTTTAAACACAGCAGATGAGTTGTGGTATGATGCATTATATCACGATACATGCAGATGACAATATGCAACTACATAATTATACAATTATGTAACTGCACAAAGTGCACATAAAACTATGTGCATTAAAATGGAATGTTCTACAAATAACTCTTCTCCCCTTCAGAAAGCTCTTGGAGAGAAACCCGCCCTTTACAGGAAAATTACAGTGATTAGTTCCAATAACTTGGACAGCTAAATAAATATTTACAATATGAAAACATACAGTAAAAACCTCATTTGCATGGACTTAGGTGACCTCATAAGGATTATCAATTTTTGCAATTAGTGTGTAAATAAATAAATAGGATTAAAGAAGTCAAGGATACTGCATCACAGTGTTCTTTGTTCATTTACTTTGACAAGCACCATTTTGTTTTAATTGTGAATAATAACGCTTCCAATCATCTTAAACTATTATGGGATGTTTGATAAAAACAACATACTGTGAAAAAATATCTGCAAGGTTACAACTCTCTTTAATGGAGATAAGTTCAAAAGTAATTTTGATTTAAAAATGCCTATGTTTTCAAAGGAGCTTTAACTTCTTTTTCTTTCATTTTATGACAAGATTTTATTATGTTTTAGCCTCAATAAACCACAAAATATGTTTCCCATTATCAGTTGCTGAGGCAATTTTTTTTTTTTTTTTTAATTTCATGCTTCCACATACTTTTTCCTTACTTTACTCTCTCTCTGGTGTTTTCAAGGGTACTAACTTAGTTGTGTAATCTTGGGCAAAGCAGATTCTCCATGCTTTGGCTTAGCCACCTTTAAAAACTCTGTAAAATGTCAATTCTGCAGAATTAGCATGATGTTTAATCAATGTTCATAGAAGCACTTAGCTTCAGAAAGATGGGAACATATATGCAGGAAGTATCAACATTGACAATTTCCTAAATTTGCAGCATCAACAGGATGGTAAAAATGAGTTAATTCCACTTTAAATGTTAAACCTATTAATGAGCCAAGTTTTTCACAATCTAGAGACAGAATGTGCTGTTATTTCTCCAAGTCAGAGTTGCCATTTTGGTAATGCAGCCCAGCATACACTGGAAATGTATTAGGGTATAATTGCAGTAATCCTAAGGCAGAAGGATACAGAATCAGCAAGTTCCATTTTATTTTTCTTCAGTGTGTAAAAAATATTAGTGCTTAAGAACAAGACTTGCCATACGTCATCAAGCTGTCCTTTTATTGTTCCCTGTCTGAGCCGTATTCCCTATGACCAGTTCTGTTATCAGACTCCTAAAGCAGCAGCCAGTTAAATAACTGTTAATGATTAATCATCATTTCACAGGAGATCCCAGAATACATAAAATGCTAGATAAACTTTATAGCAAGGCAGAAATTGTGTGGCCTTCCTTCCACACCCTCACTTTCCCCCCCTCCTCAAAACCACATAATGTAAAAAAGCATTGAGAAATGTTCTTAGTTCATTACCTGTGAAAGTCAATGGATAATTGATCAGGCTGTACTCTTGCTATTAGAGGTCACTATTAGAAGGTTTGCAACACTGCTGCTTAGAAAGGAGACCAATTGTAGTGCAAATGCTTAGTAAGTAAAACAGCATGTTTTACTCATCATTAGCATTGTTTTCGTCTGCTTAAATGTATCTCTTTAAATAGATTTGTTGGTTAATAATATTTTAAATTAATGTCTCGTGTTGATCCTTAAAGAACAGATTGGAAACTAAAGTAGCTGTGCCTAATTAAGTAACTATTACTACTTCAGTAATGGGACATGTGAAGCATTTATCTGCTTTCTTAGCAGATTGTTAATTTAAATGGCTGGCATAATAATAAACCAGTTAGAGTTAATCAGCTGAACAAAACTGTGCAGAGACAACATAAGGATTATTTTAATGTTAACTTGGAAAGATACAGCTGTGAAATATAATAATTAATAGAGTTCATGAGAAACTAATTTCTGAAAAACTGGACATCATTCTAAAACTACTCATGGGTAGAAGTCTCTGAATTTCTTCAGCATAATGGCCTGAAAAGGTTTCACGTTCTAATGAGAAAAATTGATTTCTAGCAAAAGGAGCTGGGATTTCTCAATCTCTGTACCAAAATCAAGGTATTACTAGTCCATGAATGCTGAATTAGCAGCAAAGCAAACCTGCTTTGGTTGCTTACTGCAGGTAAGAGGTAGAGAAGTAGCAGGAAATCAGAACGTGCAACAACTGCAATACAGAAGTGAATTCTCCTCCAAAAAGTCAAAACAAAAGGGTGAAGAAATATTAATTTCCCTTTCTGGGATTATCTTTCTCTCTTAGCTCTCTTAATGGAAGCATGGTCTAGCTCTTCATAATAACAGCAGTCATTTCCAGAACTTGCATAAAAGTAATTATTATCGAAGAATATCAAACCCACAAAATGGAAAAATGTGAGAAGAATAAATTACCAGTGTTGAAGTTTATGAAGACTAGCAGAAATCATTTGAGAAAAGACTGCCAATCTTTCTGTACTGAAGCCATATTTGAAAAACATAGCAACAATCTGCTCTTGTAATCACAGAATCACCAAGGTTGGAAAAGACCTCCAAGATCACCTAGTCCAAACATTCACCTACCACTGATATTCCCCCACTAAACCATGACCCTTTGTACAACATCTAAACATTTCTTGAACACCTCCAGAGACTGTGACTCCACCAGCTCCTTGGGCAGCCTGACCATTCTTTTGGGGAAGAAATTTTTCCAAATATCCAAATTGAACCTCCCTTGGTACGGCTTGAGGCCATTTCCTCTAGTTCTATTGCTAGTTACGTGGAAGAAGAGGCTGAGCCTCACCTCACTACAACCTCCTTTCAGGCATTTGTAATCTACAAGGTCTCCCCTGAGCCTCCACTTCTCTAGACTAAACAATCCCAGTTCCCTCAGCTGCACTTCAGAAGACCTATGCTCCAGACCCCTCACTAGTTTCACTGCTCTTCTCTGGACAAACTCCAGGACCTCCATGTCTTTCTTGTAGTAAGGGGCCCAAAACTGAAATACTCAAGGTGCAGCCACATCAGAGCAAAGTATAGGGGGATGATTACCTCCCTGCTCCTCCTAGCTGCACTATTTCTGATAAAAGAGAGGATGCCATTGGCCTTCTTGGCTACCTGGGCACGCTGCTGGCTCATGTTTAGCTGAGTGCTGACCAACACCCTCAGGTCCATTTTTTCCACACAGTCTTTCAACCACTCTACTCCAAACCTGTAGCATTTCCCAGAGTTGTAGTGGCCAAAGTGCAGGACCCAGCATGTGGTCTTGCTGAACTTCATCCTACTGGCCTCAGCCCAGCAATGCAGCCTGTCCTGATCCCTCTGTAGGGCCTTCCTACCCTCAGGCAGATGGACATTTCCAGCCAACGTGGTGTCATCTGCAAACTTACTGAGGGTGCACCCAATCCCCTCATCAAAATCATCAATACAGATATTAAACAGGACAGTCCCACTGACTCCTAGGGAACACCACTTGTGATTGGTTGCCAGCAGGATTTAACTCTTCACCACCCCTCTCTGGGCCTGGCCTTCCAACATGCTCTTTACCCAGCAAAGAGTGTACCTCCTAAGCCACAGGCTGCCAGCTTCTCCAGGAGAATACTGTGGGAGACAGTGTCAAAAGCTCTGCTGAAGTCTAGCTAGTCTACATTGACAGCCTTTCCCTCATCCACAAGGCAGGTCACTCAATTACAGAATTAGATCAGGTTTGTCATCTACATGGAAAGATCCTTACCTCTTCTTCCTTGCTGCCTCAGCCTCACTATGGCCACTGTGCCTTCTCTACTACAGAAATAGTACCTTATCCAATATTGTCTTACAAGGTGAGACACTGACTTCCCTAGTGAGGAACTTGTACTCCGCAACTTTTAGGAAACTGATCATTTAGCCATTTATTTTTGAGAACTTTGAGAGATTGGCAGAGCAGCAAAAGAAAGACCGAGTACCTAGAAGGAAGGAAATGAGAGAAAGTGCTAAGGAGAACATTGATGAGAGATTTAAGCAGTGTGGCCTGTGAAGAGAGGCGGAAGGAATTATGTCTTGCTCAACTTCATTAAAAAAAAAAAAAAAAAGTACTGAAAAGAATCTCCACAAATATTTTAAGACATGATGATCAATATTCTATCATACCCAGTAAAAGGGACATAAAAAGTAACAAGCTTCACTGAAAGTGGAAGGCAAAACTTTAAGAACTGTTACGATATGAAGATTTCCTGGGAGAATGAATAGAAAGGCACAGTCTGGCCTTCTGAAGTCCAATCCTACATTGCTAAGAAAATTATCTGCTTTGTAAGCTATATAGGGAACGCTCTCAAGATCTTTAGTGCAGACTGCTAGGTTGGGAAATGGTTTTGCAGGGCCCAGAGGCCAGCTGTATAGTGCTTAGCTTGTAAAAGTCCAAAACAAACAATAGGGGGCATCAAGGCTTGGCTGCTCCTTTAGGGAATGGAAGTAGGAAGAGAAGAATAGCAGCAAAGCTAGCAGAAATTTCATTAGTGAGGGCACAAACCCATGGTACCTAAAAAAGAAGACTAAAACAGGTCTAGTAGCAGTGATCACGTTAAACAAAAGTCCAGATTGCCAGACAAGTCTTT